ACCAATGGCTGAAATTGTGTTTTTCGGAATTAAAGGGCTCTGAAACGTACAGATCCGTCGAAAACAGCACATCGTATATATGACCCGATCGTGGTACTTTCCTTACCTAGTATAGGTAGGAAAGTAAAAAGCTGTTCGTGTATATATTGTAAACTGTAGATAATACTTACGGTTGTGTATTGTGAATCATCTTAAAGGACATTTATTACTCCCTAATGCCCAGTAAAATTAATATTATCTTTAAAATACTGAAAGGAACTTTATCAACATACGAGGAGGTCATTAGATTCAGCAATGATAAAATTATAGCAAAAATCACTTAGTAAATTAATGTTCCTTCAGATGTTTATGTACAAATGAATAACCTCGCAAATTTTGAATTTCATAAATTGATTTCTTTTGAATAAAAACGTTCAACCTCCACCAAACAAACGAAATTGTGTTTAAGTTAGAGCTGTTTGAAGATTATTAGAGTGGTAATAGTGAGCATATATACTCACACTCCTAAAGGCTGCTTCATATTATTCTGTACCCTTTGAAACCAACGCATAGGATACTGTTAGTCAATCAGTGAGTGATAGCGAAGAAATCAATAAATTGTCATGGTGGGCCTAACGATGGTCAATATTGATGTTATCCCTTTGACCAACCTTGGATAGTTCTCTTTTATTTTATATTGCATTTTATATCGCATGTTTATAACTCGACAGGTTGTGTTTCCCATGTGTTAAAAATTGCCTCGTATACCAGGTTAATTAAGCAGACTAGTATCTGATATTCTCGATCAAAATTTACGACAAACTAAACATCAATGGCTTCATGAATATTTAAATTCTCTTGCTAGACATTAAATTGAACGTAGATATTCATATTACGATCGAAATTAAATAGTAAAAAATTAAATATTTTCTGAATTATAATATCTCACGTTTCATTGTAATATATGTCCAAATACGTAATTATGAAATAATACCACGTTTCTCGCATCAAGAGTTTCCTATAAATATGATGGTGACTTAAATATTGAGGTGAATATCAACAATTATTTTAATTACCCTAATACTATTCTTATTCCATTTAGGAATTTATTTAGAATTCGAGAAGTCCTCAAGAATTGAAAATCGTCGGAAGTTATGATTTGCACATATTTGTATTGCATTTTCTTTAAAGTTAATTTTCTTTGAAAATATGTATCACAAAAATTCAGCACATATTACGTTTATAATGTTAAAACGTAATTTTCACCAACAACTAAAAAATAATAGACAAATAAACTAATAATCTCTATCCAAATATTTTATAAAAGTTACAATTTAAAAATTTCCGTAATGGAATAAATGTCAATTTTTGAAAATTCAATTAAATCATTTTAATATATGAAATAATAGGTAATTCTAAATTCTGAGTTTCAACGTATTTACCAACATATTTTAAAATATATATGATCACTGCTAATAGTATGAATTATTTTTTTGTTTTTATCTTTCGCGCCTCTACCCTCAAGGATCATTGAAGTTTTACTAAGATTTATATTCTTTTATAATAATCTATTGACTTTAAAAATTCAAAGTATTGATTCATTCTTCAGTATCTTGAAGGATTTCTCTTAATGTTTTGGCTAACATTGTTTTTAGCCTGTAACTTTCAAATTGAGGACATTCTTCCAGTAAGTATTTCACTGTTTGTGCAGCATTATTACATTTTTCACACGTGGGCGCTTCGAGTCCTCTCGGAAGGTAGCCATGTGTAAACTGGCAGTGTCCCTATCCTTAGCCGGCAAAGAATAATTTCTTCTCTCCTCGAACATCTGTAACCTGTGATCCATTTATCGCAATTAGGGTTTATTTCCGTCATTTTACATTCTTCCCTTTTATATTCTTTCTCACATTCTGTTAGTGGTCTTTTAGATTGTTGAATTATTTTTTAGATTGCTCTCGATTATAGATATTAGAAAAGTTACTTATTAAATCAACTTCCAGTCATCGAACTTTCACGATCATCATGTTTTAACTTTCTCATTCCTCTGTATTCTACCTCAAACAATGAATAAATAATACATACAAACGCTCAATACTTGTTATGATGTTAGGCTTTTCTCATGTTGGTATTCATTCATATTTAAATATCTAGTTGCTATTGAGCTATTACAAAATACCTATTCTTTCACCTAGTAAAAAAATATGCCATTTAGATTTTCTTAAATATAATTTGTCGATAATTTATTGCGTGAAAATCCTTATTATTATAATACCTATTAGCCGATTTTCTTTTTTGTTTTTCACTAGTGTTGGCCCAAACGCAAGACCAAGACCAAGGCCGCCTCGGTTTCGTCTTGGTCTTGGTCTTGCGTACTTAGTCTTGGTCTTGCAGTTAACTATCAGCTTATTGCTACTTATTAATGTGGTATTTTAAATTTTAGAAAAACGCTACAAAATAACTATAATAAGATGTTTTATAGACATAAACATTGTAAAGTACAACTAAATCAATAAAATTAACAATAAAGAAAGATAGTGATAACCCTCCTTCATCCCTACGATTATATTGAATGAAAGAGTTGCAGGGTAAAGACGATTTATATATTGTTCCCAATGATTTTAATTAAAAATCTATTGTGTCCACTTAAAAGACTTTCATGTATATTTTTTAAAAAAATACAACTTTAAATGTGTCCATTAGATAAAAATATGATACCGGTTAAAAATACCGGATTTATAGAATTATAGCCAAAAATATCCAGTTAGGGTTGACTATACGGAAGTTGTGAAGCTCATATTCTGAGAACATTAATCCACTTTACTGTCGCTTAGTTCCGCCAAGGAATCCGGTTTTGAAATAGAATTTAGTCTTAACTCTTTGTTGTCATTTACACACATTTGATTATAATATGTCAACATGGTTCCGGTTAAATTTCTAAGAAAAAGTTGTGTAATTAATGATTGTATCAGAAAGTTCAGTATTTGCAATTTAGCCACTCGATTAAAACTTGGGGGTTAGTCATTTTAAAGAAATAATGAATACTGCGAAAAGTGGGCCAAACACTCAAATGTCAATGCAAAAAAATAATTTCTTTCGAGTTATGCCGTTGTAAAAATTAAGACTAAATGGTTAGTAATACTAACCCATTTTAGTTGCTACAATGAAACTTCTCAAAAGGAGCGGACACTCACAGGGAATAAAAAATTGCACGCTATAGAGACATGTACGTTTTAGAAAAATTGGAAGACAAACAAGTTAAAAGAATATCAATTAGAAAACTTAAATTGTATTTTAAAATTTATATCATGAAAATAAAGTCGTATATTCGATTAAAAACATTTTCCTTTTTAAATTTACAATCTAAAAATATTTTTATGTGAAATTTGATAATATATTTTGCATAATAAAATTGCACATAAGAAACGTAAACTTCTTTTTATATGTAGAAAAAAAAAAGAATAGTAATTTGTAATTTTGTTTGGACAAGCATAACTATTTTGGTTTCGAAATTGTTATGAATAAAAAAAATCGTTACAATTATTCCACTTCCTCTTTCAAAATGAAATTGTTTCTCAGCCAACTAATTTGTGATAGAACTTCTTTAATATGCACTCAGAGATCACGAAAATCTATCATCAGCTCGAAGGTCCACCGCGAGTATAATTGTTCGAAATGATTGACGAACGCTGGAGGGTTAAGATACAAGACTGGTGAAATCATCCATGTATTATACTCGCGGTGGACCTTCGAGCTGATGATAGATTTTCGTGATCTCTGAGTGCATATTAAAGAAGTTCTATCATGAATTAGTTGGCTGAGAAACAATTTCATTTTGAAAGAGAAAGTGGAATAATTGTAACGATTTTTTTTATTCATAACAATTTCGAAACCAAAATAGTTATGCTTGTCCAAACAAAATTACAAATTACTATTCTTTTTTTTTTCTACATATAAAAAGAAGTTTACGTTTCTTATGTGCAATTTTATTATGCAAATATATTATCAAATTTCACATAAAAATATTTTTAGATTGTAAATTTAAAAAGGAAAATGTTTTTAATCGAATATACGACTTTATTTTCATGATATAAATTTTAAAATACAATTTAAGTTTTCTAATTGATATTCTTTTAACTTGTTTGTCTTCCAATTTTTCTAAAACGTACATGTCTCTATAGCGTGCAATTTTTTATTCCCTGTGAGTGTCCGCTCCTTTTGAGAAGTTTCATTGTAGCAACTAAAATGGGTTAGTATTACTAACCATTTAGTCTTAATTTTTATTCATGTTTTGTTTTCTTATCTTGCTCCGATCCTGGCAAATGATAAATTTTTAGTGGCGGGGTGTCCGATCTGACTAACGATTGTGCACAGCACTGCGCGTTGCCCGTCAACCTGATAACCGAAGTTGGAGACAGTAAAATAATTATGAGTTCGCGTCCCGCTGCCGGGGGTCTTTTAACTCATAAATCCCCTGCTCTCATCCATGGCCCGCGAAAACCCCCATATAACCTAAAAGGCGAGGTAGGAGGAGAACAAAAAAAAAGGTTAATTTTTTATTATTATTTGGAAAGCTAAGATATATAATTCCACAAGAAAAACAACGCTGTTCAGATTAGATGATTAAAATGTTCAAGCACGGTACTATATCTCAAAATAGTCTCAGTTTGACATAACTGCAAGACCTGAAAGACTAGCAGGGTTTAGTCTTGGTCTTGCGCAAGAATATCAGGGTCTGGTCTTGCAACAATTTTTGTGGTCTCGGTCTTGCAAGACTGCAAGACCACAACCAATTTTGGGCAACACTATTTTTCAACACTCACAGACACCATATTTATTTCATGGTGTTACTTTTTATCAATTACCTGAGTAGCTATAAAAATGCGCAATTGCGACTTATTCAAAATACACATGGTAACCAGAAAGAGTAAGTAAACAATCGTATGCTTACAAAAAGAAAAATTAGAAGGAATAAACAAAAAACCCAGTATAAGAAAGCTAACAGAGAAAAATTTAATTTTCAGCGGAAATGAAGGACTTTAACCAACTTTCGAGCAAAACCGTCACTGAAGTACTGATGCTGGAGATGAAGATGGCGCCTGCTGCAAAAGCATTCCTCATATCCGGCTACCCGAGGAACATGAGAGATGTCGTCGAATACTCCAACAAGGTATTGTAAAAGATATTAAAGCTAAAATCATAATCCTCCAAAAAAAAAAATAATAATAGTAACAATGTCAAAAGGCGGCCTTCAATTAAATCCCGAAATTTTTACAAACATTGAAAATAAGTATACGGTAACAAATAAACATTAATTGTTGCCATCAATAAATATTTAAATCGTTGTCATTGGTTTGGAATGTCATTTAGTTTGTTATGGTTTTGATTTTTATTAGATGTTATTTAATGGATAATGTTTTACAACACGGGCACCCATCTCCATTATACACGCCCATATATTGTAACATTATTGCAAACAAAAAGTTAATTTTCTGTAGTAAAATTTTTATACCTTTTCCTCCAAAATCATACACCATTTTTTTCTCTACAAAACATGTCCCAACCAACCTTTAATTTTTTTCAAAAACAGCCCTTGAAATTTAATTCTTTCTAAATGGACCATTTTCAAGTTTCAATGTATTTTTATTGCTAATATAATAATCAGTGATTTTAAGGTAAATATTCTGCAAATAAAGAATCATTTGATTTATTTTTTAAAAATATTGGCTTTTCTATTACATTTGATATAAAAAATACAGTTTTTGGCGTTTCCTGAAAAATTGTTAATAATGATTATGGTTCACTTTGGGTACAAACGACTTAATTATATTTTATATATTTGCTGTAGTCTGTTCCATGGTTTTTTTTTCTAATTAAAAACTTATTCAAAACCGAAACCCCTACAAAAACATGGTTCTCTTCAAAGTTCTTAATCTCGTTAAAATGTGCTCCTTTCCAAAAATTCAGAACTCTATAAAAACACGCCCCCCTTAAACATTTTGATAGCCCCACATCACCTCTTTTCGGCATTCCTTATTTAAAAATAAAAGTCTATAAATGAAATGAAAGACTGGCTGGAGTAGTGTTCTGTCTAGAACTGGATTTCATCACACTCATGATAGTAAAAAATTAATCGGATTAATGAGAATGGGATGTATTCCGAACCTCATACTTATACTTAAGAAAGGAACATGTAGATATCCCACATATTATTAGATTTAACCAAGACTGTTGCTAAAGAATTAAACATACATAAATGCTACCTCATCTCTACTTTTACGAAAAAGCAAAATTTTAAATATAAAAAATATTCTGTCAAAGTACTAACGACTTACAATGGGATGTAACGGGTTGCCAATTACAAATTTCAATCAACAATTCTTTTTGGTGCTACTAGGTCAAAAAATATTCGACATGTGTCAGAAGTTTCTTGCCAACACGCCCTGGGACCCGAAATAATAATTGTTTTAACAATTTTTTGTAGTTATTGTATTCAGTCTTTATTCTGCATGGATTTTAAGGTTACAAATAGATTTTTCTCTTTTTTGTAAAATAAAAAAAAAATATCTGATTTTACACAATGAGCTCAAACTTATAATAATTTAATTATTGGAATTGTTGAAATGTCAAAAAAGATTAGTTCTTTGTTATGCATTAATTGGCATGCTCATCATTTTTGGTCTTATAATCGGAAATGGTATCATCATCTCAGTTCAAAGGAATGCAAACTATTATGGCTATCGACTATTGTAATAGACAGCAATTTTAATTTTTAAATATAAATGGAATAAAATGGAGGAGGCGTTCTTGACCCAAACTCGATCCAAACATCGATAGGATGCGGCATTGACCTAATAACCAACTAATGCCACAATGTCCGAAAGAGTTTAAACTTAACCGTTAATGATTGAACCATAATATTTTATTTTAGAAATACGCATTACATGAATAATCATTGTTACGTTGCGAGTCAAGAATATTTTTTTTTTAACCCCTCTTGACTTCCGCTATTAGATATCTCGCAGAGTTGCGACTGTTCTAGTCGATTAGCTGTGATCGTTCGGTTCTCTTATATAGATATTCGGAGAGAACGTAGTTTTATAATAACCAGAAGCGATCAAATCATTCCCTCTTCATCAGGATGGTTGGCAATCTTGTGCCGACATCTCTATCCTGTTGTTTTTTTTATGGAATAATTAATGTTGAATGACATTATATTAATAGCATTGAGAGTGAACGCACCAGTTATGGACAGGGGGTCCAGTGATGGATTTTAAATGTAAATAATTCGTAAACCAACGACTTCCTGTCCTACAGTTTCCTTTAACAAAACTCCACGTATCCCTGTTGAGCAAATCCGATACCTAGGACTCCACCTGGACAAACTACTAACTTGGAATCCTCATACTAGACTGAAACGACAAGAAACCGCTCGACGTTTCCGATTACTTCAGCACTTACTAGAAAAACGCTCTAAACTTCCCATTAATTACAAAAGACTCATATACTTGACTATAATAAGACCTATTTGGACTTACGGAGTGGAGCTATGGGGCTCCACTAAACCATTGAATTCCTCCAATCCTTACAATTCAAAATCCTTCGTAAAATCCTCAATGCTCCTTACTTTGTCACTAATAAAATTATCCATAAAGATCTTAATGTTCCTTATGTTTCAGATCTGGCCCAATCCAGATACTTATCCTTCCATAATAAACTTCAGAATCATCCCAACCCTCTCGTTTCTAACCTTGCTTCCTCTTCAATTCCTGATAACCCTCCGATGCGTCTGAAAAGAAGATGGCTCCGTGATCTCCTAATGTAGTCATATCATTAGAGTGCCACCATTGGGTAGTTACTTAGCAAGTGTATTCATGTCATTATATCAATTATGTCCAAATTTACTTGATGTATTTATGTAATACAGTTGTAAACGTCATAAAGAAATTTTTAAAAAATGTAAATAATAAGCTTCCTTGTTGATTTAAAGCTTCTAGTTTTTTCTAGATTGATAAACAATTCTCTCTATTGACAACTGTACGAACAAAGTTTCCCCCAAAAATTTTTAAAATGCCTGTCATTGTTGTTTCTATAATGCTCTTGAGATCAGTGGGTTTCATACCTGCCTACAGTTTTGCTAAGAGTAAGTTGAACATTTATGTTATGTTATCTTTATCGTTATGTTTATAGTTAAATAAAGATTTTCGATTTTTTCTGAGGTATGTCCATTACTAGTACCGATCCTCTGTCCATTACTAGAATAATTGAATTTCGAGGTGTCCATGATTATTGCGAAAAGGTGTTTTTTTAAAATAGAGATTATACTTGCATATCTCAATATTTTATTTATTTTAAAGTGTCAAATAAAAAAAGGAGACCCTAGAGGTTCTAGATATCCAGTCGAGAAGTTTTTAACTATAATAATTACAGCGGAATAAGCTAAAAAAATTAGCTATGTCCATCACTGGTGCTCTTACCCAATATGGACTGTTCATTTTTCCGTGTTTGGTGTTTTTCTCACCAACTTGTGCACTGCCTTCAAGAACCTCCCTTATTTCAGATCCAGATAGTCAACGGAGTGGTGCTGATCGCTTGGAGGCAGCGAGTGCTGGAACGCCAGATCGACTACGGAGCCAAGTTGGGTCAGGTGGTCCTCAGCCTGGCCAGGATGGAACTCAACAACTTCTTCAAGAACGTGACCCCTGTCGCAGACTACTTTGACCAGCGGGGGATGGTCATAGCGGTAAATCATTGTAGTATTTATCTCCATGAATGGAAAAAAAAAACATTTTATGTTTTCCATTCCTCCTCATTTCATTTCATTTCATTCCCCGTTCCTAAGAATTTTCGTAGATAAAAAAGTTTTAGATTACAATAAGATGAAGCCATTTATGAAGGTTTAGACTGCGGATATTAACAATTTGTTAACAATATTCTATGTAGAGGGATTGAACGTCGTACATTAATGAGAAGCTCAATTATCTGATTATTATTATAATTATTACCAATACGGTTTATTTAACTTTTTGAGAGATATTTTTAAGTAAATGACTGCATAATATTGGAGGGATGAGAGGTATTCCTTATCTCCCTCCTCACGCTTCAGCGCCTATGTTTGTAAGATTACGGATTTCCAAGTATTTAATTGCTATGTATTGAGGATGTTAATATAAAAATAAGTTATATTTGATAATAATTGTACAGTTAGTCCAGCAGATTGAAAAATAAATGTTGTCATCAGAAATCATGGAATTTAGAAGGTAACGGTGGTTCGAGAGGAAAAACATCTATGGAACCTAATCGTTTAATCGACCAACAAAAACGCCGACAACCATCTAAGTGTACAATAAAGATAAGACTAAATTTACAGATCAAACTCTGAAGGAACCGGATTTATCTTTTTAACCTGCGAAAGTTTTTGAGAAGATATTCTTTTTAAAAAAATAGTGATTGGTGTATTCATTATAGAGTTAGACACTTGAGTCTTTCCTTACAGGTCAAGATAAAAATTCTGTTGAATATTAACATTACACAATACTTTTTCAAAAATAAACAATAGCATGGAGAGGGTAAAAATGATCAATGTTGTTGAAGAGTTGATGTAGATTCTTCTGATAATCTTAGAAGCAATGAGTCTTGAGAAAATGAAAAGATCTGTTTACCTCAGGTGCCGATATAAATACATAATTTAATGAATATATATTAGATAAATCTAAAGGTTATATGACATTTTCAGAAATCCAAGCCACTTTAGAATAGCGAATAACAAGAAACATAGAATTATTGTTATAGCTAGATAGAAACTTTCCCATATAAAAATTGACCAAACCTTTTGTTTCGTGATGAAGCCATGTCAATAATGTATATGTATACTTATATGTACAAACTAGATAAATGACTAACTAGAATTTAGCCAATTTTTGAAGCTACTAAATAAGCACCTAAAGTTTAGTGATGAAAGCAAAATGACTATTCCATATAGAGTTGATATTGTCATGTTCTATCAATGAGCCATTTTTTATATCTTTAGTTGTGTTTAATTGTAAAACGGACGTAAGTCTTTATAAGTTTTTAAAAAATCCTAATGTTTTAAAAAGGTTCGTTACGGAATAAACGTCATTTTTTTTATTAAAGAATACTATATTTTTGACCATATAAGACGAATAAATAAACATAAATGTATGCAAGCATGCATGCACCCACTTAAAATTAAAAATTTTCATGATTGTTAACTACGTTTTTTATTATGATTTTATTTTTTATTTTATTTTTTTTTTTTAGTATTATAGCTACCAAGACCAACACCAAAACTGGTAAAAAAATGTTGATTTTCAAAATAAAAATTAAGACAAATTAGTTACTAATACTTGACAATTTTAGTTACTATATGTAAAGAATTGGTATAATCAACGTACTTTTGCATTTCAATCTTCTAATTTTTCATTCAGCTAAGTTAAGATTCTGCTATTTAAAGAACTACAGTAATATCTCCATAGGAATAACCTAATAGGCAAATATAAGACTGTTGTGAGACCCTTGTGCAAGACCAAGACCAAGACTCTTCTTGGTCTTGCATTTGGGCAACACTAATGGCAAGTAGACTATATCAATAATATTTGTATTTATCTTATAAATGCTTAATTAGATTTATCATTCACAAATGTCATTGCTTTAAGTCGATTGATGTGTCACTCCGAGATTATCGCCCGATGAACTTAAAAAATATCATAATTAACAACAAAGAGATAAGTATAAAATATTCGATTCTTTTCATTGAGAAATATCTCATATAACGAGCACTTTCTTTGCGGCAAATTGTTGCCAAGGCAATTCCTGACCAACCTTACTGATCAATCAGAAAAAAATAACTCATGAAAAGTCTTATCCAGATAAAGCTGTAAATCGATATCAAGAAAATCAAGATTACTAGTCACAAGGTCTGGATTTTTTAAGCAGCTGTAATAGCTATCAAGTTAAACTACGTTCTAAATATATTGAACAACTTTAGAATACTATTGCAGGAGATGATCTAAAATGAAAATGTGAAGAACTTGAATAACAGGAAATCATGTTCATTGTACCACATTGACCATGGTGCTTTATATATTAAATAATTTAACTAGCAACTATGGTACATAAAATTAGCTTCAAAATCAAATTTAGCTATATGACGTTAGTGTTTCGTCTCAAAGTTCACGAAATAGAGAACTCTAGCAGTTATGGCATTAACCCGACCTAAATGGTGGATTATGGTATATTTCCTCGTAGATCGTCTAATAAATTTGTATCATCATGATGTTACAAATTTATTACAGCTGATATTCGAAGCTTCATTCTGGTTAGAATAGCAGCTGTATATAACACGTATTTCCTACTTCTCTCAGGCGAATCTATGGGGAGGCTTTCAGGCTGAATCCCTCTCTCCCTCAAAATGGTAAAATGTAATCCTGTTTTATGAAAAAACATTTTAAAAAATTAGCTCTTAAAGTATTATTGTTGGTGTAATTAATTACATTTAATAGGACTTCAAGTATCACTTAAACACTATTTCATATAGGTAGTTAGTCTTTTTTTCCCAAAACAATTATCGTTATATATGTGAAAAAAAAAAACAATTAGCCTAAAGCCTTCTCCCACAAAATTGATTACGTATATGTATATATATATATATATATATATATATATATATATATATAACAATTATTACTTTGAAAGAAGAAGAAGGAAACTAACAACCTATATAAAATGACGATTAAGTGATTCTTGAAGTTCTATTAAATATAATTACACCAACAATAATACTTTAACAGATTTAATATTTTATTATTTTGGGAGAGAGTACTTCAGCCCGAAAGCTGCCTCTCCCCATAGCTTGTAGGTTAAAAAATTAAATGTTATGGTAATTTTTGAAAATTGCTTTTATAATTGTTTATTTCAGTTAATACATTATAAAAGCTAGTTTATACATACATAGCTTGTATGTATTAACTGAAATACAAGAATTATTTTTAGATTGGTTTAAATAAAACAGCTCATCTTTATCCTTAGCTTTTAGGTTTTGAGTTTCTGTATTACATGTAATATATAGATAATTATTTATACAATAAATTATAATTTTACCTAAATGGGATCATTTTTAAGGTGAATGGGGAAAGAAATCCTTCAGAGGTGTACAGTGACTTCCGTACAGCTGTCTTGAGGATCATTGGCAGCCAAGAAGGAAAAAAGAATGGAATCATAAGCAATGGGGATATTAATACTGCTCCACCAGTTACTGTTGCATCTGTCTATAAACCTCCGGCGAAGGGTTATCCACCAGTCATCTGGGTCATAGGTATCCCAGTATTTATGTTTTTTGATTTATATGTATTAAAAAGCTTTTAATATGAATAATTATTCTGAAAATTCAATACCTTATTAGATTTACAGAGTTGTTATTCATGACATTTTAAGATTATTACATATTTACAGGATAATTATTATTATTATACATACAAGTTTCAAATACTAAAAGTTTGAATTACAAAACTTATTTTATACATCAGTTTGATTAAAACTGATTACTTTTCTGGTTAGCATAATATAATAAGTGATCCAAATATTATAATTTTGGTAATATAAAAAATAATTTCTTCACATCTCTCATTTACTGCAACAGCATCATAACTTGGAATTAACTTTCTATGCTTTTAAAGTTTTAAATACTCAAGGGCGATTCAAATGTCTTTGAACTAGAGTATAAAACTTGAAATCTTTTAATTACCACAATAATATTCTTGCAGTAAAACATTATAATTATTATAATTCGATAATATATTTTTTTTAAATAAATAGACAGAAAAAGTATTATATAAAATATAAACTTACTGTACTTTAACAAAAGGCTTAGCAAACTCCACTTCTTCCATCATTTTCATTGATACTATTCTCGGTATTTCTGTAAATAAAGACCACATTTTTAGTTAAAAGTTATTAGAAAATCCTAATAGACTAGGTACATGTAAATTACTAAATATATATATATATATATATAGTATCTGTTTGTTTTAATGTTCAATTTTACAAATTCTAATGGACACAAATGTATTGAAGTATTAGACAAACATTTTAATAGGAAAAAATCCTAAACCAGAATTCAAAGAAAAAGCAATAATTTGAAATGTCAGGACTGACAGGATGAAATATTCAGGACGCAATCTTTTAAAGAAATTGTTTATTTGTGCCAATGTTTTAACCCAAACATGTGGGTCAGCTTCAGGGCGTGGTTCGAGCACTGAAGGCTTTCAAGTACTCACTTAATTCTTGGTTCAACTTTCTTAATGGTTACTTAATTTTGATTTTCAATGGTTCAATGATAATACATAGTATATCTTTATTATTTCAAAGTAGTTATAACATGTTATAAATACCTATAGTAATAATAAAAACATTATATATACATTAGAAACGTGTTAAACAGAATATAATATGTTAAAATTCATCCTAGGTGGCCCAGGAAGTAATAAGTGGTCTCTCTGCCAGAAAGTTATAAAGAGGGCAAATGGTTGGGTACATCTAAGTGTTGGACGGCTTCTCCGTGCAGCCTCTGAACCTTCTGATCCGAGACAAGGAGATTCAGGACTCATTATGGCTCATGTGGCTTCAGGAAATTTAGTTCCTCAAGTGAGACAATTTTAATATATAGAGATAGTAATTCATTATATGTTCAAATGATTCTTCACCATTTATTATTCTATCTTTTTTTTTCACTCTTGAGGCTATATTAGCCATGGTTTAATTTTTTCAACAAATAAATCCTAAACTATTAAGCCATTAAAAATATTAATTTTCCTAAATTATATATAATGAAATGTACATGTTTAAATATCTGTTAACCAATGCACATTTATTCCATGATTGTAGTATGTAGTATGTACTACATAACTACATCATTCCAAAAACCATATATACTTGATATTTTTCTATGCCATCTCTTCTAGTTCATATATGTATATATATTTTTTTTTTTATTCTTTCAGAATATTGTCATCCAACTTGTTGAAACTCAAATGACTACTAATATGAACGCACAAGGAATTCTTATGGAGGGCTTCCCAAGAGATATGGAACAAGTTAAGGATTTTGAAGAAAAGGTAGGTAGTTTTCTTTATAAATTTTGATAACCTTTAATGATTTATAGTTGCACTCATTCTACTATTTTTTTGCAATAGTTGCAACTATGTTAACCACACATGGGGAATAAACATTTCAGACCTAGTCTCTTTAGAAAACTCATTAGGCCAGATATATGCTAATATTGAACAGCTAAGAACAGCTAATAAAGAGAGCATTGAGACCGGCCAAACCACCATTTTATAATGTTTCAACTTGTAAGGAGTAGTAGTCGCCCTCTATGTTTTGTTTGAATCATTTTTTTAGGTGGCTAAGTAATTAATTGTAGTAATTAAAACGAAGTGATTCACTCCCCTGCCGATGAATAAAAATATAAATTGGTTGCAATTAATTATAATTATATAGACTTATATGCTTAAAATCTTTGGGAAAAATACTTGAAAAGGGATTGGGGAAAAGAGCTTGAAACGGAAAAATAACTTTTATTTTTAAAAAGTTTCAGTAACACTTTTTACTGTCGATGGTTTTTCAGTCCTTTTGAAACTATAACTTTTTCTCATACAATTTTTAAAGTAAAGTTCGATTTTGCTAAAAAGTCAATTTAAAAACTTACTTATATTGTTAGATACTTAAAGGACACATTAAAATCATGTGCAATTCATTTAAGACAAACTATAACTCTAATCTATGCCCAATGACTGTCTATTTTTCATCCAACAGAATTATTTTTTAAAAACTTGAATAAATACAAATTAATCTTTTACCATAAATCTGAAACTTTGTCACAAAAAAGTTTCTTAGAATTTTTATTTAATGAACTGTTTTCCTAAAATGTTTCACAGAAACTGTTAAAAAAGTTTCAAACCTTGCTTAAAATCTATACATGATTCTTGTTAAAATTTTATTAATGAAAATTAGAAAAAGCCTTTACATTTATTTTTAATCTAAGTGATATAGACTATTTATATGATGATGATGTATTTGTATAATGAAAGTATAATTGATTATATGGTATCTTTTCAAGGACCATGAAGAAATGTTTCGAACCCAATATTTAAATAAAAGGATGTTTGAAGTTAAAGAGTAATTATTTCCTTGAAAAAACACTCTATGATATTGAATTAAGAAAGTACTCATGAAAAATTGAACTGTGACCTATAACGAAATATATAAGTATAAGGAATAAATTCGTAAAGCAAAGTAGAGATTCTTCAGCCAGTATGATGTACTTATTACACCAATTATATTTTTAAAGAGAATCAAAATTTTATAATCTGAATAGCCTTATCTGTCTGTTCATAAACGAACTCAGCGCATATCACCACTGTCAAAATAGAGGATACTTCTGCTTGAAAAAAAAAATGAAAGATTTAAGAAAATGTCCATATGTAAAAATATTAATTGTAAAAAAAAATTTAAAAGAAAGAAAAGTATGATAAAAGTTTTGAAGTAAATTGACTTTCATTTTATTTATTTTCAGTATTCAGCACATTTTATGTCGAAGAGCCATTCAATTTTGAAAAAAAAATTTTAATCAATTAATAGTTTATTTATTCAAACATTTCCTTTGAAATACTAAATATATATTGTAGTAACAAATGATCACTTTTATTTTATTTTTTTTATTATTGCATATTGATAAATTAAACATAATAGATACATAAAAAAAAACATTAAATAAACTTCAACAATTTTACATTTATTAAAAATTATTTTTGATTATATTTTCAGTTTAAACAGCAGCCTATGATTGTGCTCTTGGATTGTTCTAAACTGCAACTAGGTAGAGGACGTGTAGATGACAGTGTGGCTTCGTTTCGGAAAAGGCTTGAAATATTCAGAGAGCAAACCCTTCCTATGCTCAAAACACTAGATAATGAAAATAGATTGCAAATAGTAAGATTTATGTCCTGCATCTATTCAAGTTAATCTAAAACCAAAATTAAATAGTTATCTAATCCCATATATCTCTATAGGTTGATGGAGACACAGATTTATCTTCTGTTCAAGACGAATTTGCACGAATAATCTTAAATGAAGTTGAACGTCTCAGAAAATCGGATGGCCTCATTGTTCCAGAGAGCCAGCCGGTACCAAATGCTGATCTGGATAATCTACTCCAAGATTTGGAAGAAGATGAAGAAATCAGAACAATAAGTAAGACAGTTGCTGCTTACCCACAAGGAAGGCCTTCGAGAGAAGCTATAAGGGACATGTATGCTGGTGTTGAAACTTACAGGCTGGATTCCAACATGTGACGTCGATCACAGATTGCAAACCATTCTCAATTTGTTAATCATGATTGACAAGTTGATTAAATAATTTTGAAATGAGACAATGTTGGCTATTTTTTCTATAAGATTAAATCATTCCTCAATGAGAAATATTTTAATCATAAATTTAGCGAAAAATTATTTGGAAAGGAGAAGAAGTTTGGCCCATAATCATAACATTTTGTCAAGAAATAAATTAACACTGGATTAGTGGAAGATATAATAAAAAAATCAACTAATTAATAAGTAACCATATATCTCTCTTAAGGAAAATTAAATAAAATAACAAAATAACTTTGAAAAACAGTGAAGATTTATCTATTAGATACCAATATAATTATAATAATAATGTAATAATCCTGTAATAATATACAGGAAATTTCTTATTGGTGGTTCTTACGTCGATACCAAGAAAACTATTTTTTTGTTATCTCCTATTTTTCTGGTAAAAGTCTAAAGAATCCTTATAATTTAACATTACTATGTGCAGTATGTTTTTGTTTTAATTCACAAAACTACGAATAAAATAAATTATTTTAGCAAAAACATATTATGATTATTACATTCATGAATTCAATAAGAAACTGTGACAAGTTAAGTTATTAATACATCATATATAATGATACATTATATTATATCGCTCAGTGCTGGCTTTAGACTTTCGACGCCCACGGGCAATAACAAAAAATTAAATACATTTCTTAAGCTGTTTTATATTATGTAATATTTGAATTTTATTTCATTTAACATTTCTCTTATACAGTTGCTTCATTGACAGGCTAAAATTAATTAATTTAATACATTTTTTATTTTTAACAAGTGGCAAGCTCCTCTGAAGATCAGCGAGCATCCCCAACGGGTGCCCCTCCAATTCCCAGTTGCTCCACCCTAAGGCCGGCACTGATATTGTTAGTTCAAAAGGTTGTATGTATAAATATTACTGTGTGCAGTATGTTTTTGTTTTAATTAACAAAACTATGAATAAAATAAATTATTTGAGTAAAAACATATTATGATTATTATTACATTCATGAATTCAATCCTGATTGAATACAATTAATTTTATGATTTATTGGTATAATTTCATATTTTATTTTCCTATTCAGCAGACTAATTAGATCAGTTGCAGACAACAAAATGCCACCTTTAGTACAAAGAAAATAAACATGTAAAATTGTTACATAAAATTTTTTGCAATAACAGTTTAAATTTATCATGAATTATGTAATTTAAAAATATGAAATTTAATTGGATTATAGTTTTATTGATTGAAAATATCTATGTGGTTAAAATTTTTAAACTGAAGCTACCTCTTTCATCTATCATGATATTTTTCCATGACTTTTCAAAATGGCACAAAAATATTGACTTATATATTTGAATCATTGAATCACTTTGTACTGAAAGGGGTCTTGTCAGACTAAGCCAAATTGGAGAAAATATAGACAAAAATTGATCCTGTTTTAAAAGCTTATTAATTATTTGCTGTAAAATGTGGAATGGATCTACCAGAAAGATTTTTTATTCATGGTTATCTTATTACTTCGAAATTTAGGCAGCAGCATCTTCAACCTTGGCCAAGAGTTGTCGCAACTCCTTTTAGCATAAAGTGATTTAGTTTAATTTCGTATTTTAAAAATAAATATATGATATTTTAAACATATCATGATCACAAATGTCATGAAATGCACAAAATCCAGTAAATATTATTGTAATTTCACTTGTGTGAAACACTAGATATGAATTGTTGTGCCTTTATTTTGATAATATAGATAAAATAAAGTTTTTAAACTTTTCTTAAGTATGAAATTTCGTATATTTTTTCATTAATATTAACACACAAGTTAAGAATTAGTTTCCATATACCATTTAAAAGCTCAACTAAATTGAGTTTTAAATGAGAAGTGTGATAAATTTAGATTTGTTAAAATGCATAGATAATTGTAGTTCTTAAGAATTGTGATGTGTTTGGTAAAAGATTTTCCCATTTGGAGTTACTCAAAATAAATGTCATTAAATTATAATTCTAGAAGTATTTTTTATGTATTTCCATTGAGTAAAATAAAACTATATCTGAAAAATTTTACAGAAAAAAAGTTCAATTATTACCAAAATCGTATAGTAATACCATACATAACAATACGATGATATCATTATTATTTTTTTTTCTGTACATTATATTATTTGAAAATAAATTGATGAAGTTGAAAATAAATTAAGAAATCGTTTCACTATATTTTGGGTTTCTCCATTAGGGAAGGCCTTATATTATAAAAATTAACTATAAGACAAGCTAGCAGTGTTAGCTGATTAAATTTAACATTGAAATTATTTAAAATGTAAATATATTATGAAGTGGACCATGATATAACTAAATAATTCATTAAATTGTATTTATTTTTAATAATCTATAATCAGCATTATCAAAATTTACTTTATTTTTTCATATATTTATATATAGATACGTACTGAATATATATTTATATATCTAAGTATGTATATATATTTTAATTGTCATTGGAAAAAATTATTACCGAAATACATTTTTTTCTTTAAAATTATTTCTTCATCATGTTCCTTATTTTTCTGTTTGTAACCATAAATAAAAATATTTGAAACCACTGCTAACAGTAGAATAATCATGAATGTGCAATCAAACAAAATGAAATTATTATAATTTATTATTATAATATTTATTACAAATTTAGAGTGTAGACTTATTTTTAAAAATCGTCTCATCCATGAGCAAAGTCAGCTGGTTCATAATGTTCCAGCATCATGGAAATAACAAAAGTTTTCCAAGTTACGGAGTAATGTATCCATTGTTTGCTTGATAAAGCATTGGAGCATGTCATGCTATTCTTTCAATCTCCTCTGAACATGGGTTGTGCTCATTCTAAAGATCATCCAAAAAATGTGAGTACTGATGATGAATGAAATAAAACTGATAGTATTCAATAGTTATATGATTTAAAACAATAGGCATAGTATTTAATATTCTTGAAGTAACCAAAGTTTACTTCAAACCTATATTTTGTGATGTACTGTAGTACTACTTAGAATAATTATATTAAATTATACTTGAATGTAATTTGATAAATTAATTACTTCAATTATGTTATAATAATTTAATATAATATAATAAAACATGATAATACTTATTTCACAAAGATTTGTGAAGATTGAAAGATTTTTTCGTCTCTATATCGGTATTTTAATTAATGGTTTATAATTTTATATTTATTAATGGCACACACTTTTTCAGATTGACTTAGTGAAACTAAAGAAGAAATATGATGCAGAACCCATTAAAAATGCTAAATTACTTCATGTTTGGGTTATCGGTGAGATTTTTAATTCAGGAGCATCAATATATATATATATATATATATTATATACATCTTTTTTTGTTCTCATAAGTTTTTAATTAATTATATATCACTATTAGAGTCATGAGGTATCAATACAAATGTTTTGCTATTGAGTTATTTGGTATTAAGACAGTACTTGAGTTAAAAAATAACTGCATTACTAATTACTTCCAAAAAAATTATTGCAGTGTATAATTACACAGCAATTTGGATAGCAGTGCCATTGAGAAGGATCTACTTCTTTGTAAGATATTTAAGGTGAAAAATAATAATTATGTTATAGTTTAAAAATATCTCCCAATTAAAGTTTGATGAGATTTTTTTTCCATTTCTTCATATTACAATAATTCTACAATGGGTCCATATATGTATTTCTACACAATATTGATGATCTTCGTTTTTTACGTAATTATTATAATAAGTGACAATAGGTAAGAAATTTTATTGGAAATATTTTTAAAATAATATTTAATTTTGATAATTACTACCCTTACAGAAAGTTCTTTTTGTTTGTCAAATTAAGTACATTTCAGAAAAAGCAAATATTGGAAAGTGTTACTGCATGAATATCTTATCATATAGGTATTGTTTGTTTTCAGAGCATTACAATTTTGTAAATGGTAAAAAACAAATTAAGTTCTATACAGAAAAAGATGTGTGGTCATGACACAGAATTTTAATTTTAATTGGACATAGATAATAGACCATTAAAAAAGTAGTGGTAGTTTACCTTATGTTAAAAAAAATGTTTATGGTTACTGTAAAATAAGATATTAGAATAATACTGAATATTTAAAAATATATATACATGCACATTCATAATTTTTTTTCATACACATATTCACAATTTTTTTTTCTTATATGGATGTAATTGAAAATATTATAACTATTCAATTGAATGACAATACATACTTTTCTCTATTATTTTTCTTTAATTCAATTAAAAAAATAATCCTACTTGATTTTTTATTATTCATTATTGATTAAACAAATTATTATTGGTTATTGATTAATAAAAAAACTAAGTATGATTATTTATTGAATTGACCTAAAGGCAACTAATAGAGAAAATATATTTATAAAAAAAAAAGATCAAAACCAAAAATACGCAGTAATAAATAAGAAAACCCCCGAAACTAATGAATATAAATAACAATTCTAATTAAATTAATTTAAAAAAATAGTTGAAAATGAAATATATAAAAGAGTTTTTTAAAATATCTTATAAACAATAACATTTTGATTATTTACAATATTGCAATATGTTTAGCTTATTAGACTTTAATTACTACTACTTCTTTTATTACGAATATAGTTACATAAAAGGAACTTTTAGAGTAAGCTAATACATATACGTACTTCTCGGCCTTGGCATAACCAGCTATTTTATTTACTTCTTTAATTAACTCATATGGATTATTTTGTAAAAATTTTAATTTTTACACATAGAATTATTGAGGACATGAAATGATATTCTTTTTCCCTTCTGTTTATTATTGAGGAGTAGTAATTGCCTTCACTAATTCTGTGCTTATGTGTTTGACTACTGCCTGAAAGTGTTAATAAATATGTTGAAACATATTTAAAATCCAAAACAGTTCTGAGTTGAGATATCCTGATGACTAAAAAGGCCTATTACACTTCACTAGTTATATTCTTGAATGAAATTTTAAAATATTTCCAATTTTAATAAGTAAAAGTAGTTGAAAATGTAGTAAGTATATGAAAAGTTTTTCTTTGATTTTCTAAAAAATTATTAATAAGTATAACCTATCTTTGGTAAAATAAGATTCC